TTTACTACGATTTGGAGGAATCAACAGCGTGTAGGACCCACACAAAAAATGGAATTCAATTCCTGAAATTGGAGGAATTGGACTCCCTCCTTGGGTGAGATATTTGGATTCCTGGATGGTGAAGGAATCAGGAATGTATTTTTTCTTCCTATTATGTCATCATTCACATTATGTCCAACTCCATGCATATGCCGAAGAGAAGAAACTACAATTTTGAGCGAGAAAATTTAAATATTAAAGTACATACTTAAATTTATAAAAAAAAAAAAAAAACAAAAACATTTTAATGTGTCTATGAAATAAGAAAGCAATTTTTTTTTTCTTACTATTATATAGTATATCAAATTTTATTAGAAAAAGTATATAAAATATTTGATTTGGGATAAGGGCATTTTAGTAATCATACTGGTTTATATTCCGATTCTGCTGAATTAATGTCATTTCTATTCCGATTCTAGAACATTTAAGTAAACAGCTTCAATAGGAATCTGATTCTGACTCCTCCTCAATTTAATTCCTTCTATTTTTATTACGGTTACGTAAACGCACCACTAATGTGAAAAGAAAGATTCGAATTTGTGTGCACATAAAAGAGAATGTTGTCCTAGATAGCCAACTTGGCTAAACTCAGATATGCTAATCCAATTTAATAATGTGACTACACTAGAACTAGCCTTACGGAAAAACAAGTGTGTCTCGTAACCTTGCATTTGGATGAAGAAATTACAAATTGTGAAAAATTCTGTCAATTGCAAATCCAACTGTTTGAAGATTATGTATGTTGAATTTTTCAAAAGTAATATTATTTTGTAATTGAATACAGGTTGGAGGGAAAGGTGGCTCTGATAACCGGCGGAGCCAGCGGCAGCACGGGGCCGAAGTCATCATTACAGATGTCAAAGATAATCTGGGCCATTCAGTCCGTGAATCCATCGGCCCATCGGACTGCACGTTTGTCCACTATGACGTCACAGACGAAGCCCAAATAAAAAACGCCGTACACAAAGCCGTTGCCGCATACGGAAAGCTAGACATCATGTTCAACAACGCAGGCATAGCTGGCCAGTTCAAACCCCGAATCATCGACAACGAAAAATTGGATTTCGAGCCCGTGCTTAGCACAAATATCACCGGAGTTTTCCTTTGGCAAAAAGCATGCCGCGCAAGCCATGATTCCTGCGCAGACGGGCTGCATAATTTCAACTGCTAGCCTGAGCTCATACATTGGTGGTGTGGCCTCACATGCATATTGTTGTTCCAAGCATGCAGTGAATGGTCTGACCAAAAATGCAGCCGCTGAGTTAGGTCCGTTCCGGATCCGAGTGAACTGCTTGTCGCCATCCACGCGTCGCCGATGAGTTGAGGTTTTTCGGGAGCTAAGGATGATGAGGACATTGAGAATATGATGGGATCTCTAGCTAACTTGAAGGGCATGACACTTAAGGCAGTGGATGTGGCAAATGCAGCTCTATATTTGGCAAGTGATGAGGCTAGGTATATCAGTGGGCTTTAATCTCTTGATAGATGGGGGTTTTGGCATCCTTAATCCCTCCTTCAAATTCTTTCAGTACCCTCCAGAGCCTTGGTCTGTTTAGCTACTACATATATTTTTTTCCTTTTACATGATTTAGTTTGAGTTACATTTAATTTGTTACAAGTTCATTCTAAAAATTGACCAGTTTTTTAAGTGCCTTTATTGGGGTATAAATGTTCGGGTCTTCCAATAAACAACCTTGTAATTGTGTGTTTTAGAAGGTTGGACACCATCTTCGTTTGCTACAAGTTTGAGTGAAGAGGGATGTGATGAAAGATACTTCCACTTTGAAGTTAAGTTTTAATTTCTAAGTACGTTACCTAATATTTGAATTTTATTTTGATCCCTATATTTTGAATTTGAACAATTTAATCCGTATATTTTATCATCAACAATTTTTGTCCCTCGTACCAAATTTGACGTTACTTTGTCTTGTTAGCATAATGTGTTATATTGTCCTGTGTATACATTAACCCAAATTAAAACATAGGAAAAGACCGAAACTTTTGCAGATTAAGCACAAGAATCAAATTGACCAAATTTAAAATAGGGAACTTTAATGAAAAGCTCCCGGTACTGTTCACTTTAACGAAAAATCACATTTTAACACTAAAAAGTTCATCCTGGTACTATTACTTTACCTTTTATTTTGTCTTTATCATTAAAACTCAAAGTTTTCAAGCCATTTTCATTAGTTTTTCTTTTAAAATATAAGAATAAAAGCCACTTAGTACTACGGTCTAGTAGTATTCCTCTTTACTTGTAAGTGAGAGATCTTAGGTTTAATTCTCGCCAAAGACGAACTTGAACTACATTATTGCTAGCCTATTGTGAGGCTTTGCCCTCTCCTCTCCTTTAGTGTAGGGAATATTATTTGTTCAAATTTAAAAATAATATTCAATCTGAATTTTAATAGTAGCAAAGGTCACAAAAGTCCCAGAATTATACTATGAGTTTAATTTTGGTCCCTGAACTTTGGTAATAGTTGTTCTTGCCCTCGAAATGTGTCATGTGTTGCACTTGTGGTCGTTTTCGTTAACTTCGTTAACTTTTAAGTAAATTAATGAGTAAAGTAAATATTTCATCCAAAAAATAAGGAAAAAAAAAAAAAAAAAGGAAAACTAAGTAGCCATTGACCATATAATATATATATAGGCTCTCCTTAGTATCCACTAGGAGCGCTCAAGTTCTAACAAGCTAGTGTTTACAAGCTAGTGTTTACGGCACTATACATATTTGTATATATAGCGATTCTGATATAAAAGCAACACATTGTTAATCAATCCACATAGAGAACGACATCACAACAACTGAAAGTGATAAGAGGATACTAATTAATTACAGAGTTATATAGAGAAGCATCTGCAAACAAGGAGCACATGATTGCTTTCAGTAATGGCCATGACTTCTTCTTTTGAAGTCAACTGTGCTGGTATGCAATTGCCATCTTCATATATAGGTCACGGTCATGTGTGAGATAATAATTTAAATACACGGAGGGTGAAACACATCTCCTTCATTCATTACTTTCTAAGAAAAGCAAGAGGATGTTAATAAAATGCAAGAGAAACTTGCACCAACTGCTTTGTAATGAAATCACACAGACAGTAGAAGCCTCGAAACAACAATTCAAACATCTACAATCGCATCCATCTAAGAAAAGCAAGAGGATGTTAATAAAATGACAAGCAGATTCACAGAAACATATGCAAGCAGGTCTTCATATCTTTCAATTATGGCCATGTCTTCTTTCTGTGAAAATCAATGACGCTTCCACGCCAACACCGTCACTTGTGTCCATATATATAATCGCATTCTTGAATTCATGACTACTACGAATTCTCACCCATGACAGCTGCTCCCATCCAAAATTTGCTTCATAGAAGGGAAACTTGCACCAACTGCTACACTATAAGTCACTATACTATCGTCTATCAGGATGTTCCCGGACTCTTTGACGCATTGAAGTACATCCTCACAACTAACACTGTTAGGATACTTTTCTTTATATTCCTTAATGCCTTTCCTGAATTTGGCAACCAAGCTTTCCAGATCCACCTCACTTCTTTATATAAAAAGAGGCTGGGTGAACACAATGGATTAATGGAAATCAACTTCTTTCCTATACTGTATTTGTCTAATCTTTATATATAAAGCTAACAACCTCCTTTGGGGTCACAAGTTTCACCAAAAAGTTTTGGAAAAAAATTTAAAAAACAGCTCAAAATAATGCACCAAATAATGCATGGGTATTTTCGTCATTTTAACAGTATTTTTTTAATAATTAATTTTTTTGTACAGTTTTTTTTTTTTAATTAGTACCTCATAATAAGCTAATAATAATGTGATTCAATTAGTTGTTCATTAAATATTATTTTCTCTATTCTTAAACACGTTCAAAACATCTTAAGAGGCGCGTAATGCCGATTATAAAAAAGATCTTTCGCATGCGCATAATAATGTGATTAAATTAGTTGTCAAATGAATTTTTTTTTTTTTGAACAAACGATATTATATACACTAAGGAGGAGGAGGTGGGCTTAGCCTCACAATGGACTAACAATAATGTGATTCAATCAGTTGTTTATTAAATATTATTTTCTCTATTTTTAATGTAAATTCAATAGAATGTAGATGGAAATTGAAAGACCGATTTTATTATGTGAATTCAGCTGCTTTGATTGATTTGTGAGGAGTTTTTTCTTGCATGATCTAAGATTATTCATTTACTTCAAATATTTTACTTCTCTTTTGTCAATTCACGCATATAAATACGTTTAAAACGTATAAGTCGCACGTAGCATGCCATGATTCAAAAAATGACTTCTGAAGCGTGTGCATGAAGGCTAGTTAGTAACTAAATTTGGCCGGCGTGACGCTTTCTTCTAGCCATGTGCTTTCTTGCAACCGGGTAAATTGTTTTCCTCTCAATAATTTATATCTCAGAAATGAAATCTTAGGGATTGTTTGGTATTTTTCTTTGAGAGATTATATTCACACATCCCAAATTACTTCTCCCACACTTTTTTAATTTTTTAATATTTTCTACACACTACTAGCACTTGATAAAAAATATTAAAAAATTAAAGGGGTGTGGGAGAAGTAATTTGGGGTGTATGAATATAATCTCCCTTTTTCTTTTTGAAAACATTGACGGTACGAGGGAAATTAATAAAAAAAAATAGTTTATACCTAGTCAGGAAGAGGGAGACATAAACTTTACTCTTCATAAAACAAGAGATATAATGTTATCATTTTTTTAAAACAAAAAATAATACTAAACACCCCCTTCATTTTCCTATCAATAAACACTTGTATGACCAAATATACATATATTTGCATAATTTCGACATGATCCTGACCGGTTAGAGACTTTTATTCTTGGGATTGGAGATTAGTAGGATATAAACTTCAGGTTGAAACTGTTATAAAAAAAAATAATAATAAAAAAAAAAAAACACAGAGAGGTTCAGTTGTTCCTCAACGAAGACCCTCCATATATAACGGTGCCGCAGATCCGGCTGACCCATCGTTAATTTGCTGCTAAATTACTTCAACCCATCTTTTGCTCCGCTGTCCAAACTTTAATTTCATGACAATGACCTCTTGCAATTCTTTTTCTACAACAGTGATTATTGGTTAGAAAACTTATCACTCAAAGTTTGAGTACAATTTGGATTGAAAATACCGATTCCCATTCGTTAATTTCGACCTTTATGACATCCAAAACAAACCCAATTTCTGAAATTAAAATACTGCAAATTCAAATAAATGCTGGAACTCCGTATTTCCGAAATAAACATTGTTTGAAAAGAGAAACTTCACATGTTTGAATCAACCACAAACTGTTTTTGAGAAGGAACCTCCTCATCCTTTAGTAGCCAAGCATTCCTCATATATCAGTCACATTCGTATTTGCTCTTATTTATATAATTGAAGCATCACACCAATTTTGTTAAATAATTACGTATACAAATAAGGAAAAATGAAATGAAATCACAGATAAAGTACAAGCATCAAAAGGATTGCGAGATCTCACGAAATGACAGTTGGATTCGGAGAAGCATATGCAAGCAGCTCCTCACTATTTTCAAATAGGGCCATGTCATCTTCTTTGAGAGTCAAGGAGGCTTCTATGCCATCGCCATCTCTCATATCCATCAACAGAATGGTATTCTTGTATAGACTACGAACGCTCACCCATGACGGCTTCCCCCATCCGAAATCTGCTTCGTAGAAGGAAAACCTGCACCAGCTACTGCAAGTATAGATATCTAAATCATCGCTATCCAGGAGTTTACTGCCGCCAGACTCTTTGGCTGCATCGATTATATCGTTACCACTAACTCCATTAGGATACTTTTCTGTATGTTCCTCAATGCCTTTCCTGAGTTTAGCAACCAAGCTTTCATGTTCTATCTCACTTTCAACTGTCATTGCTGCAAAGGACCACACACAATTCCCCAGTATGTTTTCTGCCAAGGCCTGCCTCGATCTCTTCCGCATGTTCACAATCGGACACAACATGGATGGCTTTATAATACCCAATTTTGATCTTGATGCTTGCATTGCACATTTCCAAATGAGCGCTGACACTACTTCAACGCGTGTTGGGTTGGGAGTGGTTTTGGCAGCTTTCGACTTGAGGGTAGCAATCTTTGAGGCATCGAAGACAAATCTCCTTGTTATAGACCCTTCAGTAGACAATGTCACTGCAAAGTCAGGTGAGTTGAAGATATCCAGGGGTGGGAACAAAGAAGCTGAAACACCAAATTCTCCGGGAAGCACGGCGTGATGATCAGTAGTAGTGCTGGCCGAGCCAAGGGCAATTGCAGCCCATCTTTCAATGAATTTGCATATTGTAAAGGCATCGGAAACCTTATGGGCAAAGCTGACCCCAATCGCCAATCCACCACATTCAAAGAAGTTGGCCTGGATTAGTAGAAGATAGTCTGTGTTTGAAAGTGTGGATTCTTTATCAGTTGGAACCAATTGTTCTAGGATCCCATCATCTGGCTTGTCAAAAACCATCGACATGTAACAGTTGACTTGGGCTTGAAGAAATGCAACCCCATGATCATTGCAGCAGATTGAATCATTTCTTTGAAATTCTCCTGCAAAGGGGTAGAAGTGAGTGAGGGCTTCAGATAATGATGTTTTTAGAAAGTTGGATCTTTCCTGATCATCAGCAACAGCAGCACAAGGTTTGTTGCGATAGAAGAGAAGTAGTGGGATAAAAATTTCAGGTTCGAACTGGTCAAAAAAAGAGAGGCGAAGATTTCTAAGGTCGGGAGGAGTTGGAGAGGATGGTTTAATTGTTTCCTTGTTAAGGACTTGAACCTTCATCTCTGAAACCATCTTTTGCTCAATGCTTAACAAAATTTGAGTTTCATAATCATAGCAGGACCTTCAATATATATGTTGAGAATGAATCCCACATTAATGATATGAGGGATTTTGTATAAACTTATAGGTAAGTTTGGGTACTATTCATGTTGCCAATTGGTTATATATTGGTAATGAGTCCTACATTAATGAGAGGAGAGATCTTCAATGAGTCCCACATTTGTAATTGTAGTCCACAATTTGTTCCCCTGTATAATATATATTTGTCACATTGGTATACCAAAAAAACATGTGTACCTCACGAGACTCGCGGAAAGAAAATATCATTTGAAAGTATCCAAAAAGAGAGTTTTTGGCATTTCAAAAGTCCATCATATATTAGTTAAGTGTTTGCTTAAAAAGAAATGCAAGGAGACCATACTTTTAAACCATATTTTGTAAATTACATGATGTAATTTAAAGGTACTATATTTATATTGACTGTTGCAATATACAAATGCATAGTGGATACTTACCAGCTAGGGATTCAGCAAAAAACACATGGAAGAGAGCACATTCTCGCTTGGTTGATGGTTGGATTCCTAATAAATTTAATGGTACTATATTTATATTGACCGTTGCAATATACAAACGCATAGTGGGTACTTACCAGCTAGGGATTCAGGAAAAAACACATGGAAGAGAGCACATTCTTGCTTGATAGAGAGATTATATGCTTAAATCATATATATATATATATAGAAGAAATTCAACCATCAACCTGTTACATCACCTGATTAACAAATATAATTTAAGCAAATAATCTCTCGATCAAGCAAGAATGTGCTTTCTTCCATGTGTTTTTTGCTTGTGCTTTCTTCCATGTGTTTTTTGCTGGATCCCTAGCTGGTAAGTACCCACCGCATTTGTATATTGCGTTACATTCGTGTAGGTATATAGTCGTACCACGCTTTGTATTGTCTAGTCCCTTCCCTTTAAAAGCTATTATATTTAAATATACGATTAGATCTCCCTCACCTTTTGCAGTTCTTTTGTTTTATTTGATTAGGCATGCATTTTGATTAGGTATACATTTGATTAAAATGTTACACCCCCAAGAACATGAGAGACAATCTCTCTTGTAATCAATTCATCACATGACAAGTGTTTATTAGATGAATGATTAAGTTTTTAAATGCTCGGCAAACATTTATTAGATGAATGATTCCACTTATACTATCTTAATTGCAAAAAAGAAATGTCCCTTTGATCACAGAACACAACATCAGTGGTTATGTACATGTCACCTGACAATAGTTTGTGGGTTCAGAGTATTCCATGAACTTAAGGAATCCTAAACAATTTCACTAGGTTGCGCTCATACTTGTAACTTGTTCGAATACATGAGAAAGATAATCCTACATACGTTGGAAAAACGAAGTATCAATTATTGAAAACTGTTGGAGTGTAGTGTCTCATGTCGGAGAGAGAACAAAAATTGTTGGAGAATAAAGTCATATGTAGGAGAGTGTAATTAAACACGAAAATCATGTGACAAATGAAACAAGAACACGTGTACTAAGTAATAATTTTATTAATGTACTTGTAGGGTCGCAATCTCTTTACAACTTGATCCTCTTATTTGATCTTTGAAATGTAAGGTGTGTAGTGTTGTTGATCTAAGGGCTGCAATGACTTGATCATGGATGAACGGATGTCACAAGGTTTTGGCTCTTGGCAATGGAGGAACCGGCACATGTATAGGTGCTTGGTGTTCTTCACAGGTTGACTAAGAACGCAGCGGGTTTTCCGAGTCTTCTTGAGTGGTTGAGTGTTTGGAGGTTTTGAGTGCTTCAGAGTTTCAGAGTTTCAAAGCTTCAATGTTTGGGCGTGAATGATTTTCCGGCCCTTTTTCTTTATCTTGGAGCCTCATATATATAGACGAAAGATTTGTCCTTGATTGGGCTTGATTAATTGATGAAAAAATCAGGACTCAATTTGTGGGCCGGTTCATGATTTGACCCCATCAATTAATAGTTGATTTAATTAAATTAAAATCAAAAATATTCTTTTCTGCCAAGTGTTGACTCGTTCGATTTTGATGAGTCATATTCATGTGTACGAATTGTGAGACATATGGTGCATGTCACATATGCCCTAGTATTTCGAAACTTTCATGTGTTGGAAACATTTATTTCACCGAAATTTCGATGTCTACAAAGAAATAACAAAATAAATAATAATTTATGTGTGGAAGGTTCACTTTTAATATTATTGACACTATCTATGAAAAAATCTTGCGCTTAATAAATAGTTAAGTTATATTATTGAAGTTGGCAGTGGGATAGTGCGCCTAAAAAGTTTATCAAAAAACAATGTAATGCAAGGAAAGAGCCCATTTTTTATTTCACTTTTGGTACAATGACTGCAAGCATCAAAAGAATCATGTTCTTTTAGTACCAAAAGAATCATGTTCTTACAGAGGTTTTTCTTTTTGTACTACCTGAAACACCGATCCGGAGAAGCATATGCAACGGCTCCTTATTGCTTCCGAATATGGTCGTCTTCTTCATTGAAAGTTAGCGACGCTTCTATACCATCGCCGTCACTTACATCCATCAGCGCAACCATATTCTTGATTCTACTCTCTGATAAACCCATGATGGCTTTCCCCATCCAAAATTCGTGGCATAGAAAGAAAACCTGCACCAACTGCTGTCACTATAGGTTTCGATATCATCCCTTGCTAACAGATACATATACACTTCGAAGATTTCACATGCATCATCCGCACTAACAGTGTTAGTGTATTTCACTTTAAATTCGTCAATGCCTTTCCTTAGTTTAGCAACTAAGCTTTGAAGATCGTGATCTAATCTAAGCTTTGAAGACCGTGATCGACTTCACTTTCTGTGGCCTTTACTGCGTAGGATGTCACGAGATTTCCCAATAAATTGTCTATTCCGTTGTTCACCGCTTGACACCACGCGGATGGCCTTATGAAACCAAATTTTGATTTTGATGCTTCCATGGTGCACTTCCAATGAGAGCAGATACTAATTCCACGCGGGTAGGCTTTGGGACGGTGGTACTGGCAGCTTTGCACTTGAGAATAGCAATCTTTGAGGCATCAAACACGTATCTTCTTGTTATGCGCTTTTCTTTTGGCATTTCCAGGGTAGGTTTGGGTGTGTTGAAAAAATCTTGTGGTGGGAAAAGAGACGCTGCAACACCAAATTCTCCTGGAAGCACTGCATGATTATCGGAGCCAAACGTAACTGCCAGGATTTGATGAATGTGCTGATTGTGGACGCATCACCTACCTTATGTGCAACGCTGACTCCAATGCCATTCCACCACATTTGAAAACAAAAAATTCCCAGACTAGAAGCAGATAGCCTGTGACTGCTTGTTTGGATTCCCCATCAATTGGAAGCAACTTGTTTAGCATTCTAAGATTTGCTTTTTCCAAAAGCTTTGATAGGGGACAGTTGACTTGGGCTCATGGTCATTGCAATCAATTGAATCATTATAGTGGAAAGTTCCTACAAAGGGATAGAAGAGGGTTTCAGACGATGATCTTTTGAGGATCTTGGATCTTTCGATTGCCCAAGAATGGTGAGCCGTATTAATATTGACCTCAGCAGCACTACCTTTTTTAGGATAGAAGAGAAGTAGAGGGACATATATATCAGGAAAAAGCTGATCGAAAACAGAAAGCTTGGTAGTTTGAAGATGGGGAGGAGTTGGAGAGGATTTAATTGTTTCTTTGTAAATGACTACGACCTTCACCTTGATACCCATTTTTTGCTTTGCACGTGAGTTTCATAACAAACACCATCAATATAAATATTCACATTCCGCACATGACAACAGCTCTATTACAATGTGAGATTCCTTTGAATTTTTCACTTTATTGTATTATACTAATTAATATATCATATTATTGTTACCATATGGCATCAAAGAAACATATGAAACCTAATAGTCAATTATGAAAACCAATTGCATAGCATATAGCCTCAACAACTTAAGTTGTTAGAAAATCCCCAGCTATGGGTTGTATATGGAGGCTTGAAAAGTGGTGGATATAACTTATTTTAGAGCTCCGAGGAATTTTTTAGGCTTCATAAAAAAAAATCTCTCCGAATAAGGGGCCACTTACTTTCGGGCTCTAAATGGGGCTATACATATTTATTTATGTAATGATTTGATTACGGGATAAATCTTTTTTGTGTTAAGTTTTCTTAAGTTGATTTTTTGACATATTATCTCAAAAAAATTATGAACATTTCAACCTAAAAAATTTAAAATTCTTACAAAGTTAGATCTCTTCACTCACTACTACAAATGTACCCATTAGTGTCATTTGAAAAAACGACACGAAAAGCCTATTACTGTCAGATATTAGCAAAAATCCAACATAAAATCATGTACAAGCGGATAAAAGAACCGACATTATTGCTTGCGTCACAAAAAGGCTTTTGTTGTCGGTTAGTCCCCTTAAACCGCCAAGAAAACGCAAAGCGTTTTTAAATAAAAAAAGGACAATAGTGTCGATTATAGGCGACATTAAATACTGGAACAAACTTTCAGATAAAGCAAGTTTGTGTCGCTCCTAACCGACACCACTAGCTGTTAATAAATAAAAATAAACAAAGCTAACACTTTCTTCCCATTGGATAGTGACACATTTTGTCGTTCATAACCGACAGAAAATATGTTAATAATTAAAAAAAAATGAGAAATTAGGTTCTTATCCTTCCTTTGGCTATTCCATTGATTAAAATCATATTCCTTTTCAATTTTTGATCAAGGTCCTTGGGTATTAATAACATCATTAATTATTTCAATAATAATTTTTTTTTTATTTCTAAATATTTTCATTTAATGTTAAAAATGTTACAATTAGTATATTTATATTTATGACTAAATTTTTTATCATATATTTTTAGTTTTTAGTTTGTACCCATTTTTAATTTGTACCAATTTTCTTTTCAATTTTAATTTGTACCCATATATTAAATTCTTTTTGTGCCCATATTTTTTAAAGT